GACTAATACCGTCTGTCGACACCAACTTTGCGTCCTTAAATTCATCCTCGGCAAACATTTCCCTCAAAACGTGGCCGCCGTTTGGACGTCTAGCCTGTTGGGATGGACCTGTTGTTCTGCAAAAAGTAACAGGTCAGTCTACCAGGTAGCTATCTTGCTTATGACTACCATTTGACCTCACTCACGGGCGAGCCCGGACCGGTGAATCTACTCACCCTGAAGTCGAAAGGTCCAGACTGAGAGTAGCGTATATTAGTGAGTCAAAGGTTATCAGCTGGCCAAAAAATTCAATCCTCACACGCCGCACGACAGAATCCACGATTCATCAGAAGCCCATGCCGAAGATCATTCTGTCCAAGCAATGCCGACCACATAATGCACGACAATTGTATATGCAAATACCCGTTGGTATTTCAGCCTTCCCTCCGTTCTCTTCAGCATCCCCCCTCCCCCTTCTCCCACCACCACCATGTCGGCGCACCCTCCGGAATCCAATTCAAGCGCCAACGCCATGCTCTCCGTTGCTCCTACTGGCTTGCGAGAACGCCGTGCCAGTGCACATGCACCACCTTCTGGCCGTAATGTGCTCGAAAATACTTCTATCTCTATCGTGCCTGAAGACGCAATACTTGACATTGAGGACGCCGAAGTGCCGGCTCCAGACAAGAAATTTACTCCAAATCCTTCACCAGAGATCCCTACCTTATCTCAGCTTCCCAGTCTATATATTGATAAACAAAGCGCAAGCATTTCTGGATACACGCCTGGCACGCTTACGCCCGGATACTCTGGGCCCAACACTCCCGCCGTGACTGCTCGCGAGGCGTATTTTGAAGACTCATTCACTGCCCCTATCTTAGAGCATACGGTCGAGGCCGTCCGACTCAAGCGCAGGCTTGCCGTTTCGTTTTTCGGTTTCTTTTGCGCTGGGTGGTCAGACGGAAGTGAGTTCAACCCCCACTACAAAGTGCGCTGAGGAGTGACTAATCATCGCATACAGTCACCGGAACAATCCTTCCTCGTTTTGAAGAAACGTATCATGTCAGCTATCTCGTAGTGTCTCTTCTCTTCGTCGCATCCACCTTTGGGTATGTCTCGTATGCGTCTGAATGAAAGTATTCTAACTAACTAATCATAGGTTTGCCATTGGCACCATTGTTATCGAGCCGCTATTCAACACTCTTGGTCGGTTCTCAATATCTGCACGCCGTCGTCGATTCTTTCCAGTTTTCCCCTTGCATATATCCAATATACAGACTGGGGTGTCAATGTCTCAAGGCCGCTGTGGTGTCCTAATAGTTGGTGCCATGTGTCAGTGCGTATACTTCACTATTGCAGCCGCAGGAGGGTCGTTCCCCGCAATGATTGTCGGGTTCATGTTTTCTGGAATTGGTATCTCATTGTTAAGTGGTGAGCTTAATGTCTCTAGCGGCGAGTACGGTTACCAATGCTGAAGTTCTTCTAGGTCAGTCCAATGCGTACGTTGCGTCGCAGAAGTCCGCTGGACGATATCTTGGTTTGTGGCTCCCCTTCAGTTTGGTAAGATAAATACTCATAGAAACTTATCTTCGTTATAGGATGGCTTCATGGGTGCTATGGTTCGTCCGTTCCTGAACTCTGTCCAACCTCACTACGCTTACTTCTGGCCATCTTGATGCAGGAATTGGAGCATTTGCATCTCCTCTAATCGGCCAAACACTTCTAGCCAAAGGTTGGCCCTGGCCACGATTCTTTATCATCTCTGTTCTCCTAAGCTTGGTCAATACCACTGGAACGATATACACGTTCCATACTACAAAAGAAGAGTTCATCGCGGAAAAGGCCAAGGCACGCCAAGAGCACGACGCATTTGAGCTCCAGAGCCGGATGGCTAGCGATAGCGTTGAAGAGCGACCGGACGAAGCTGCGCCGCAGAGGACATCAAGACGTTCGAGATCAAGGGCTGCAGGAGAGAGGAGCGGTGAGTCCTAGGTTACCGGGTGTGTACAATAATCTAACCCACCCGGTTCGATGTAGCTATGCGGATGACGTTGAGTCAGCCTTTCGTGTGGATCTTCGCTCTCTTCCTATGCACCTATACAGGGGTAGGAAACCCTTCCATGATTGCTCCGCCACCGCTGACACCAACCATCGATTTGTAGAGTGAAACAACCAACGGAGGTTGGAGTGAGTAATTTAGATGTGCCCGTGCTTGAAGTGGCCCTCAGTACTAACACGATACACTTTCAGTCGTCACCTTCCTGCTCACCGAGCGGAACGCGAACCCGGATACTGTTGGGTATGTTGCGAGCGGTAAGTTCTAGGTGCGTAGTATGCATATATCCCAACCACTAACATGCTGGCAGGTTTTTGGGGTGGGCTCGCCTTGGGTCGACTATGTCTTGGTCAAGCCTCACCCTAGTGTGTCCTATTTCTCCTATTATGATGCGTGAACTCAGTAATCCTCTAGTATTGGCATCAAACGAGAGAAACACTTGGTACACGTTTACATTGGTGGGCACCAACTTACTCGAATGGTGTACTGCAGTCGATTGAAGCTGGTCTTTCAGGTGTGGCACTCGTGATGACTGTGCTTGTGTGGAAAGTACCGTCATTTGTCGGCAACGCTTTTTGCACTGCGATCGTGGGATTTGTACTTGGACGTGAGTCATCTATTCGCCTCCTTAGTGATTGCAATCTTGCTCACTAAGTCTCCAGCAATCTTCCCAACTAGTCTGTCATTAGCAACCAAGGTAAGCCTCCTATTTCATTCTCTTCCATTTAGCCAACTTATATTGCCCGACCACTCAGCTTCTACCAACCGAGATCCACATGACAGCACTTGCAACAATGTCAAGCTTTGCTAGCATCGGTTCAGCTTTATACCCATTTGTAACTGGTGCGCTCGCCAACGCAAAGGGCGTCGCTGTCCTCCAACCGGTCATGCTCGGGATATTGTCTGTCATGGCAGGATTATGGTGCTTGTTCCCAACTCGAAGCATTGGCTGATAGAATCACTATCAAGTGTAGTGCGAGAAGTTATGGATGAGATGAAATTCTGTTGGGTCGGTGTCAATATTCAGATTCTTTTGGAGTTAAAACTGTTTTATTTTCTTGGGTGTATGCTGAGGAAATAGACGTGTCTTTTGTACCACGGTAATACATAAAACAATCATAGTGTACTAGTACAAGACCAACAATCAACACACAGACAAGTTACAAAGATATGCAATGCAACACAAGCAAGCTAGGGTGGGTAACGACAACAGCAAGAAACGAGAGCCCAAGTTAGGTATCATCGGACGAATCCGAGGCGGTATCTACAAGATCATCCGGGTCCCCGTCGGCCTCTGTACGTGAATGAGAGGTACTAGATTGACGGGTTGGCGGAGGTGGCGCTTTATCTGTTCAACCGAGCACATTAAGTACACGGTTGAACTGGAGAGAATTCGGACGTACCCATCACGACTCCTGTGGTTCGAGGTATGGAAGGGCCGCGTCCAAGCAAAGGGCGTGGCGGGCCAGTACCTCGGACTATTCTCGGAGGCGGTGGGGCTGGCGGGAGTTGTGGCGTGTGTGTCGGGGTAGTCGAGTTGGAACCAGCAGGTGAAATGGGAGTTTGGGAGTTTTGTAGCTTGGAAGGTACGCGGGTAACAGTTGACGTTTTTGACGGCGAGGGTGAAGGAACAAAGGGCTGTGTAGAGATGAACATCAGATCGCCAACAGCATGAAATCAGAGGATACAACACCATACCGTAGAAGATTCTTCCAAATCAGCCGGCTGAAATGCGAGTGGTTTACCGTTTGCAGCTATAAAACCATAATTGATATGAATATCCGGCACACTCCAAATTAGAAACCAAGCGCCTACCTTTTCCAACCTTCTGTTTCTTCGCCTTGGAAGGTTTCGCAGGCGCAGCGCTCTCGCGCTTATTATTCCCGTTCGTGGACTCAGGTGTATCGGCCTCTGCACGTTCGTCCCAGAATACATCAATACCACACATACCAGACCAGCAATATGTACAAACTTACTCTTCTTCTTTTTCGACGCCTTTGGTTTCGCAGTCGGGGTATTATTCCCTGCATCATCCGCGCCATTGGCGCTCCCAGACCGTTGAAGTGGCGTAGCTGTTCCCGACTCTGCTGCCGCTCTAAATCCATTCAAATCACTAATGGGTGTACGTCAACCGGGAAACGGACAAGAAAGGTCTTACCGTCCCTTGCTCGTTGCGTTTCTTGGACCAGTCCGGCGCGTATTTCCAAGCCCAAGGCAACTTGCCAAATGATTCGCGTATCGATTCGGAGTAACCTATGTCGTATGTCCACTGATTATTATGGGTAAAATCAATACCACAAGATAGCATACTCGCCTGACGTTGACATTTTATGCAGTCCAACAATACCGGCATTTCGGGTTTGACGCCGTTCCCGTTCGTAGTTCCGTTAGTACCGCTAGCTGATGCCATAGGTGTGCCGGGTAAACCGCTGCTCGTGCCTTGGTTAATGTGTTCTACGATCGTGCCAAGTACCAAATGAGCGTAGGTTATGCCTTGGCGCTGTTAAGCGTACCTTCAAGCCGGCATCTACGAAACACACGTATAATTAAATCTCGTCAAATAAACAGCACGCGAAGCCTCAAACTCACCTCGTATGACATACCCCACACACCGACCGGTTTCTCAACCCAGATTTATGTTCCTCAAGCGCAACACCGAGCACAACGTCTTCGAGCATCGCATCAAATACCGCGTGCGCCTTTGCTTCAAATCTTAGTCCCACATAAACACAAGCTGTGCGAAAAACATAAACTCACCAGCGCATCTATCTCTGCGTCTGACATTTCTGCGTGGTCGTTGACAGTAGGGGCTGATGACGCAAAAGTCACGTGGCACTAATTAATACGCTCCTATCAGGTGTGTTCGGGAGATCTGAGGGGTGGCCCGAAATGGATGGTCGGTTTGCGGCTGGGTGAATCTCTGCTTGATTCTACTTGGTTGAGGAAAACAAAACGAAGGCAAAAGTGACCACCGCAGGGCTCGAACCTGCAATCTCCTGATAGAATACGAATCGTAGTCAGACGCGATACCATTTCGCCAGGCGGCCTTATCGCAATCCGAACAGGAGCGAACATGATCGCGTCATCTCGTATACTATACACAAATTTCTATATTGGTAGGGAAATTTACATTGGAGAAAAGAAATGATAGTGGTATTGTATATGCAAACTATCAAAAAACGAATGTACGTTTAGAACTTTGACGACGACCTCGACATCGCAAATACCACGATGATCACCACGCCCAAGAATCCAACGCTGGCAGGCAATACCATATCCCGCGGTACGACACCAAACAACTTGTCCTCGTCATGTACGACATGCGCGTGCGGGTGCGCCGGAGTCGACATGGAATCGGCCACCTTGGCTTCAGTCTTTTCGACCAACCGCGTCTCTTCTTGAGCTGCGCGAGCGGATTCTTCAGCTTTCTTCTCGGCGTCCTTTTGACCGGCCAGATCCCATGCTTTGCCTCCGTGGATGTATATGATCACTCGGTCCTCCTTGGCCTGTCGCGCGATACGCACTGCGTCGGTCACGTCCGAGTCTGCGCTGATCTCTACCGTGTCTCCGTCTGCGTCCGTGTACGAGAGCGTGAAATCGAGTGGATCGGGACGAGGATAATCAGCCGGCGCGTCATCGGGCACTTCGAAGAACGGATCCGTCGTGAGCTTTCCGGCAATGATGTCTCGAAGATTTTCGACATTGTCGTGGCGCGCTTGAAACCGGTGCGTGCGTCCGCTCGGGGTACGACATTTGAACACGTACGTTCCGTCCTCGACTGGCTCAGGGCCGGGAGCTCCATCGAGAAGGGAGCCGTGCTGGTGATGGTGCTCGTCGACAACAGAGGCCGAGTCGTTCGGATGCAGTTCTGAGCGAGGAGAACGATTGACTCCGAGACGGTTTGGATCGGCAAGATGGGACGAGTTGGGGTCGGTAGGCATGTTTGAACCGGAGATCGCAGACTCGTTGTCGTCCGCATGTGCAAAGGACTCAAAGAAACGACCCCACATCGGACCGGCTTCAGCTTCATTGGAGGTATCTGCTCCGCTGAGCGAGTTGATCTAAAGTCCAGAGTAAGTACTCGGTAAAGCATTCAAAGAAAGACTGCACACCTGCTCAAGGGTAGCATACGTGAGCTTGAGCACATCGACAATAGCCACAAGCCTGCCCTCGGGGTCAACCACAGGCAAATTGAGATATCGTCCGTCTGAAACAAATTCAGAACCAAAGTTTCAAGACAACACTAAATCACTCACTGTACATCTTCTTGAGCGCATCGTGCACAGTCATAGTCGGCTCAGCGACATCCGGATGAGGAGTCATAACCCTCACGACGCTGCACCGTCCCGGATCAAGTCCAGCAGCAATAACGCGCAAGACGACATCCTTGCTCGTGAAAATCCCGACAATCTTGGCGTGTCCTCCTTGTTGACCAGGCTCCATCACGCAAACAGCCGTCGTCCGGTTCTCTTTCATGAGCTTGGCAGCTTCGCGTACGGTCGTACGCGGGTTGACCATGGCAGGCTGTGTGCGGGCGTCCATGAGCGTCGTGAGATCGGGAAGAGCAGTCTTTTCGCGCAACGAGGCAACATAGGAGATCATCGCCATCGCTTGCGGGTTGGCATTCATCCCGTTTCCGAGCTCAGACTGGACGCCTTCGAGTGCGGCATGGAGTTTGGCCGAAGCGGAAGAGCCGCGTTCGACCTTGTCGAGCGCTTCGTGGAAAACTTTGGTGATATCGAGTAAACCGACGACGTTGCCTTCTTCGTTGCAAACGGGCTGCATGCAAATGTAAATATTAAATAGTAGAAGATGGATGCGCGACTTGCCAAATGCCGGAATCCGCGCTGCACCATGAGCTGCAGCGCCTCGGTCGCGCTAGTCGTATCGCGCGTCACCATCGGACTCCTCGTCATAATCGCGCTCACGGGCGTAACGCGAGGATCGAGTCCTTCAGCAGTGACCTATCCAAATCCACACTCATCAGCATAAATTGAGTGGCGGACAGGAGGTACACTCACGCGGAATGCGAGATCCTTGGCGGTAAAAATGCCGCTCAATCCTTCCTCTTCGTCAACGACTAGGACACAGTCGGTACGCTTGGCCGCACAGAGCTGGCTCGCATCGGACACGGTGATCGACTCGGGCACGGTGAGCGCCGGACTGGGCTTGAGCGCGGCCACAGTCCCTTTCGCAGCCGTGGTCCTGCCCGCCTTGCGCGACTTGCCCATGCCAGGCGGGATGCCTCTCTTGCGCGACAATTCTCCCTCGATCCTCTTTCTAATCGCCTGCAGAAATGTGAGCGTAGTTCGAGTTATACATACTACGACGCACCTCATCGCGCTTGTTCTGCTTGCGACGGGTGTCCGAGACAGAGACATTACCGCCCGAGAGATTGCTCGCCATCGACACTTGGTGGTGCGGCGAAGTGGGCGTATCGGGATGCGAGCGGCTCGGAGAAGGAAGATGCGTTGCAACAGGGATGCGAGACATATTATCCAGTCGCCGCAAAGTTATTCAATGTCCGCGCCCTGAGCTAGTGGCGGGTCCAGTTTTATATTGTTTGGCGCGCTTCGATCCAACCAACCCGCATTTATTTCATTCAGAACTCGCTCTCTTCGCTCTCTGGCTCATCTGCGTCTACAAGCTCGCCTTCGTCCGCACCACCGCCTTTGCCCTCTTGCTTGCGCCAGAGCCCAGCTAAAAACTCTGGCCCGCTTGCGTCTGTCGACGCTTTATCTTCCCGCACACGCATAAATCGAGGAAACCGCAGACTCAACCCGCGATCTCCGGCCACAAGTCCTTTCGCAGCTTGTGAAACTGGCGAAAGAGTAATACTACATGATGTCGTCATAAATATGCACACTTTTGCTAGCGTGAAGCAAGTACGTACTCTGCGCCTTTGATCTCCCATACCTCGCTTGGTTTGAACCACGCCTTGGGCACGAGTCCTGCACATGCCCAAAATGAATACCACGCCTCGATCAAAACGCACATCGACTCGCCGTTTGTATCAACGTCCGCAAACGGCACT